GAGCCTTTGAGTTGTTGTGGTTGGAAAAGGAGGACTTAATGGTTTAAGTTGTCTAGACGCATCACCACGGCATGGTTGAGGTCACCACGACGTGGTGACTTGGTCAAGACCCGCTTGTTTTGTTGGGTTACGACCATGACGTGGCCAAGGAGGCCACAACGTGGCAACTAGCTGGGTTGACTTTTGACTTTTGACCTTGACCTGGATTTTGACCAAGGTTTGACGTAAGGGTAATTTGGGTATTTTGAGTTGTAAATGAGATTGGTCTCTATTTGATGAATAGGTGACAGGTAGGGCTGATATTCGAATTCGGGACCTATTCAGCTCTTTGTTCAGACCGAGAGGTGAGTCTCCTCACTGTACCCGTGGGTCGAAGGCACCAATGTCGGCCTACTAGAATCTAGTATGCTAGTTGTCTTTGTGACTCTTGCATGGTATGTTAAGCTAGGCCCATTGTATGACGGGCTAGGCCCATTTGTATGTTGGGTTGGGCCCATCCATCAGGAAGGTATAGGCCCAATGTATGTTATGTAGGTTGCTAGTTGTCTCTCTGAATCTTAGTCTCTCTGACTCTTGCATTTGTATGTTGGTTTGGGACCATTGGTTTGGAAGGGCTAGGCTCATTATGGTGGGTTGGGCCCAATGTGAGGGCTAGGCCCAATGATATGTATTGTATGTGGTATTTTGGGGAACTCACTAAGCTTTATCCTTACGGTTTTATGGTTATGGTTTCAGGTACTTCCAGTTCGAAAGGGAAGGGCCCGACTTGATCACATTGAATCCACCCATGTTTCCGCAACTGGATGGATTTTGGGATTGCACTATGATAACTATTTTTACTCTGATATACTTTAGAATGATTGAAAATGGATAAATGGTGTTTATGTTTAAATTAAAAATAAAATTTTTACCTTATATTTTTTGGGATGTTACAATATGTTCATGTTTGGTTACTTGTTTGATTTATATGTCAACATAGTGAGTGATGGTTTGAGGCGGTCTTGCTGTGTGCGGTAGGACAAGATACCCGGGCAGGTCAACGATGTGTTGTAGGCGTGGGAGATGGGTCAATCATGGACTGAGGGGCCTATGAGAGCGGTTCAGGTGTACTATAAGCCTTGCAAGGCGGTCCAATCATATTGTAGGCTCAGGAGAGCGGTCCAAGTGCATTGTAGGCCTTGCGAGGTGGTTCAGTCAGACTAAAGGTTCATGTGTGCATGCATTGTATGTATATTGTGGTGTGTGGTGTTTTGGGAAACTCACTAATCTTTTGCTTATAGTTGTGGATTAAATGTTTTTTAGATACCATTGATGATCGTGGGAAGGCGAAGGCGTGACTATACGTACTCATCAGCAGCATTGGAGTTACGTATCTATTATATTACTCTGATTTTCAATTAATTGTATTTTGAACAAATGATTTTTTTTACTTGGATTTTATGGAAATGGTGTTTTACCTTAATTAAAAATGAAAATTTTGTTTGTGAAAATGGGACGCTACACGAACCATCATAACTTAGGTTTCGGAACCACTGTCTGTGTGAGATTAGGTTTCTGTTTGAGGATCTATTGACTAATTTTAGGTTTTTAGGGATTCCAAGTTAGATTTTGGTTTCGTTTGGGTTTGAGATTAAGGTCTAATGTTGATTACATGTTTCATATTATGGTTTCATTTTGGTTTGGGTGGTGACTGGCGGTGGGTGAAGGAGGTGTTGGTGGTGACAGGTGGTGGTTGTTAGAGTTGAGAAGGAGTACAAGGAAGAGAGAGATGAAATGATACAAGGTTTTCTAAAAATTAATAACTAATATAAAAATAAATAACTTATAAACGATTAAAAAATAAATAGAAAATGGGAATATATTCATTTCATGCATATAGGGATGAAACGTGCAAGTTTAAAACAAACAACAGATAGTCCGAAGTAATTTTTGAAATAAAGACTAAACATGTAATTTAACACCTGAACCAATGACGAATAATATAATTCACCCGTTACCTAGGCAGTTAATAGTGTGTTATAGTGGTGCTATAGTGTTTCGTGGAGGTGTAAGAACGATATTTACCAAATAGCGGTTTAGAATAGCTGTGACGCTATTAGCTTCGCGATTTACCGTTATTTACCGCAATTATGGTCACCGTTATAGCGGCATTACAACTCTATTTGAATAAATTCCATTTTGGGGCTATTTTACATGAAGAAAATGGTTTTTGTGTCATTCCATTGAATAAAATTGTTTTTCTTAGCCCAAATCAAAAAATTGATTAAGTTTTGGGTCTATGACGATTTCCATTGAAACAATATATGTGTTGTCATACTAATTGTGTTGAAGACTTGAAGTATTGGGGTATGATTAACTCAAATTGCTTAATCACTTTATTTGCTAACTGTGTTGAAGTATGATTAGAATGCTAACTATTGCTTATATTTTCTTGTTAATTGTGTTAATGTATGATTAACTATGACATTAGTAACAAGCATATGAAGTATAATTAACTAATTATGATATGTGAAGCATGATTAAGTGGTTAACCAAATTGAGTTAGTAACTGAATATCAATTTTATTCTACCAATTAGCTAGAATTGTGAATATATGGTTCAGAAAGAAAAAATTGGGGTGAGTTAAATGATTAATTGTGTTAAAATATTGCTTATGTTTTCTTGTTAATTATGTTAAAGTATGATTAATTGTGTTAAAGTATTGCTTATGTTTTCTTGTTAATTATAACATTGGTAACAGGAATATGAAGTATATGATTAATTAATTATGATATATAAAACATAATTAATTAATTATGATATATAAAACATGATTAACTGATTAACTAGATTGAGTTAGTAAGTATAAAAATTTTATTCTAGCAATTAGCTAGAATTGTGATTATATGGTTCTATAGTTGTTAAAAAAAATTGAATTGAGTTCAACTTTAAAATGTGATTAGGTGATTAATACTCTTTTATATATATATATATATATATATATAT